AAATCACGCGTCTTTGGCGTGATCATAGGCGGCTGCCCCGTGGCAGGTTAGGCGTTGGTTAGGCGGTGGAGCGGGGAGGGAAGAGGGCGGCTGAAGGCATCTTACCTTGGCCAGTTGCCAAGCCCCGCCAACGCGTTTTAGGTTTCAGTTGTTGCCAAGGCTACATAACCGTTGTTACCATGGCACCGTGTCTTGGATCTTCGACACGTAACTTAGCATTCACCCGGGGGGGGGGAGGGGGCTAGGGACTTAGTAGACTGAGGGAAGTATTTTGGCCACAGATCGCCGGGCCCTGTCGTTTTTTATATAAGGCTGCAGCCGCTGCGGCCAAGGGCATAGGCGGCGGAACGGGGAGGGCACCGGGGCACCGTGCCCCCCTTTGGTTTTGGCATTTAAACATTAGCCCTATGGGGGTTGCATGCATGGAAAGCATGGGACCAAAAGTCGGCAGTGCCCCCCCCCCCCCTAATTAAAAGTGTTCCGCCGCTACTGGCCAAGGGGGAGGTGGAACTCTCAGCTCTCTCCCTGTTTCGCGACTCTATTGAGGTAGAGGAGCCTGGATAAAAAACGAGCATGTGTGCGCCGTTACAGGACGCAGCGCAGCGATCACTGGTATCCGCCCGCGCCCTGCTGGGGCCCGGCAGTCCTGGTTTGTCACGCCCTGCGCTGGGGGGGGGGGGGGTGAACAGTGAACGCCCCCTCCCTCTAACTCGGCTCCTGGGCCACGTAGCGATACAGGAAAGGCGGCGTTCGAAAGGACGTCAAAAAGAATGATCCGATATTACTTCGGTCACTTTTTTGGTCTGGTCAAAAGCTAGGTCACCAGAGGTCGTTGAAGGCCAAATTTCGCCGATTTTCAGGTCGAATGTCGACAATTTTCAACAAACATGCACATACCTAGGGGAAGCCGGGAAAGCCCGGGCGCGGGGGATGCCCGGCCACCCCGTTTCCGGCTAAATTATTCACAATAAAATGCTCAACTGTTTGTCCTTTCAGCGTGGCAGCTGAGGTAACGCCAGTGCAAAAGTTAAAGATAACAAAAATTGCTTATTGTTAAAAGTTATAGAGCATAAATTATATTTTAAGGGTATTTAGCTAAAAACTGAGATATGATGCACTGTTAATATTATAGGTAGGTACCATACAGCCCTAATATTTATACCTACAGATGTTATGATTAAGGACCGTCTAAGTATTTGTAGTGAGGGGTAACGAGGCAGGCTGGCTTAAGTACCTACGACATTTTGTTTCGAACATCGCTGTTCTAAAATAAAATTAACACATTGGGATAACCCCGGGCGAGTGCGGCGAGCTTACCCCCAACCAAGAGCAATGCCACTAAATCGATGTTTTTCATGAGATAGGTAATAGGTACTGAGTAGGTTTGGTTTACACCTGGCCCAAATATAAATTTTGAAAATAAACGTGTTAGTAACACAGACAAAGTCTCTTTAGCTTGTCGCTCTATTCCAGTGCATACCTATCAGTTATGGATGAGGGGCGATTGCTTGCATGGTTTTTACTGTAAAAATATGGGAGAGATCTGCTCCATTTTAACAGTTTTGGGTTATACTATCACTTTATATCAAGAAGTGTGACTAAGTTTATGTTTGGTTTGTATGCTACAGGAACGGTCATGTCACTTGAGGTCAACTAGGGTCAAACTACGTTTTTTTTATTCTTCTTCATCAGCCGAGTCGAATGATATGTTATATGATGCATTTAAGTAAACGAAAAAATAATTATTTTAAGGAATTTAAAATACACATTTTTTGTCTATTTTGCATCACGATTTTATTTTTCATCGACCTGTGCCCTATATGTGGTACCTAGACGTTGGCTAAAATACCTGAAGGGTCATAAACTCCAAGATGTCCAGAGCTAAACAGTACCTTCCTACCTATTTCACTTTCCGTCAATATTTGGAGGACAGATAAAGGTCTCACCAACTCGTTGTTAGCGCTAGAGAGGTGGCCGGCGTTACCCCTATGCCGGGCTTACCCCAGAAAAATTAACACTTTTTTAACATTCGAATTTATACGCAACTTTTGCTAATTCCACAAACCGAGTTTTTGGGAAAACACGGCCAATTAACTTATCTAGCTAACAAGATATCAACATTTTATACCGCAAGCAAGGTAGGTATGTAATAAAAGTGAAAAAGAGATTACTATGCTGGGCTTCCCCCGGCTTCCCCTAATTCGGAAACTATAAGTGCTACAGCGCCCCGGGAAAGTGCATTTGATAGCCCTATTAACGCTCTTTCTGAGTAGTTCTCCCAGATTTGGCTAATGTCAACGGTTTTGCTTGCAGGAGCAGGGGGCAAAAATTTACAGACAGACAGACAGACAGACAGACAGACAGACAGACAGACAGACAGACAGATGTTTATTCGGAGCCTCCATAAATGGGTTTTGTGGCTTCCACGTCATATACAATGCGAAATAAAAATATAAAATATATAGATAAAACCACATAGCAAAAGTACAAGCACACTAAAAACCACTAAACACCATTCCATTCCTTACTAGCACGAAAAAGGAAGCCACGGCGGGCGAGCTCGGTTCTTACACGAGGCAGATTCAATAGTCCAAATTCTCGGTCGCACGAGTATAGTCGACTACAGAATGATGTTCCACTCCTCAGAAGCTATCAGTTGACCGGAGCGCTAAGTTGTGCCGTTTATCAAGCAATTAAGCGTGTCGATTGTGAGCATTGGGACAAAGCTATAATTTGTGAACTCAGTCCGTGTGATGCGGCACAGCCTACCACTTCAGGCAAATAAATGCCTGTGAAAAGTGGAGCATCATTCTGTAGTCGACGATACATCTGGTAGACTCGTCAGATCTTAAGACCAGCTTATTACGCAAGATCTCAGATCTCATCAACTGCCAAAATGGATGATTTTTGCGGTAAATTTTTCTGTAATAACTTTTTATTCACACATTGCACGAGCTTGCTTTTAGCTCCATCGTCATTCCATTGTGCTCCCCTTGTCAAGGCGCATCAAATGAACTACCTATGATTTGACCTTGAAAGGTCAACTTGAAAATTTGACCTCAGTCAGGTCAAGGTCATGACATGACAGGAAAAGGTAATGTTGCATATCAGTCGATCCGTATTGTCGAGCTGAACATGTTCAAGGCGTTTTCATTACTCTAGCATGCCTCTATCAGAAATCATTAGCGAAAAACTGTTAGATACCTACCATTCGTGACATGTTCTCGCATGTGTAGGGGGTCGGATGGACCTCCCCATGGTTTTTCGCGAATAGCTCGCGCAAAAAGCGGCCGATCGCGACGAACCTTTCAGTACCCTCGATTTGACCAATTTTACACCTACTCTGAAAATTTCATGACCCTGACCCAAGTGACCTTTGACCTGTGACCTATTTCTCGAGACCACGTGTGGCCGGAATCGCGATTCGGCGCCTATGTCGGCTCGCATTAGCAGCGCGTTTGCAAGCTTTTCGTGGTTTTAAACGTTCAAACATGTGATTTGGTGTTGTTGCTCCCATGCAATAGGGTGGATGTCAAGGTTACCTGAAGGTCAGGTCAGGTCACTGGCCTTTGGTGACCTCGGTTCAATTTTTCGAGTTTTACATGTTTCTAGGCTAGTTTTTTTAGCTGAATTCGAATTTAGAAACCATTTGAAACCCTGACTGTGGGGGGGGGGGGGGGGGCAAGGCCGGTGACTGCGGGGGTTTGGCCCCCAGTTAACATGTTAGACGAGGCCCTGCCAAATTTGGTATGTCGATGGACGACTATTCCGTAACGTGCCTTCCGTTTATCTCATTTTTTGTTATTTTGACGTAGGTATTTTATGATAAAAACTTTTTTATTTTTGAGGGGCAAAATTCAATTATTTCTTTTAATCCCGGATAGATGTTTCATAACCCTGTTCATCATACACTTTTCCGTGCTTATCATTTTTCTCTTCCCTCAAAACTGTAGGCGTGACAACTGACAACTCTTACCGCAAAACCTTTTTTGGAGTCAAAAATGGCAGAACATGGCGCAATTCTGACGTCCTTTGTGACCAACTATGAAAACCTTTTGAAAAAAATGACCACATGGTGTAAAATGGGTGCCCGGAGGGGCTGAAAATTTGGTGAGGCTATCGGCAATACTTCAGGAGATATCGACTGAAAAGAAGAGGGGGCCGTTTCGCCCCCCCCCCCGTATGGGACGTGGGTTAACACGCACAGGAAGGCTTCCGAGAACTACGCCCAGTGGAAAGGGGACGAATGTCGCCCCCTCCCCTCCTAAGATCTCAGCTCCTATGGAAGCCAAAAAGACGGAATTTGGAGGGTGGGTGGAGGTGGTGGGGAACTCTATTGTGTGTTTATTCCATGATACTAGGTCAATACTCAATATCTGCAAGGTCAAATGAGGTCCAACGGGGTCAAATTAGCCAGTATATTTTGAGTTTACAGCCCATACCTCAAACAGTTACCGGCCGATTTCTTATTTCTTTCACTAGGTATACGACGGCACATATACATACATTTTTTGAGGATCTACTGAGAATTTCTAGTTAATCCAGCCATAATACCTAATTGCCATTGGAGCTCAGCTGAGAGTAAGATGTCTTCCGGACAAGGCAGGGGATAGCCGACGCGGGAAGCGTTTCAGTCACAACTTTGTGTTTAGGTACTTACACAGTCGTAACTCAAAATGCTTAATTTTCGTTTTTCTTTCACCTTACCCCGCGCGGGCCCGGGGGACAATATTTACCTCCTCCCCGGCTGGATAGTTCCGATAGCTCCCGAGCGCTTAGGGATAGAAGCGCCAAACTTCCATTGCTTACCTTTTTTCCCATCAATTTCACATTTAATCCTGGAGTAAAACAATGGGACTCAGCCCCTCCCATACACAGGCACACGAATACCAATACCATGGTCAACACACGCCGTCACAGCCAGCAGACCTCTCCCCGTAGAGGGGGAGGGGAGGGAGTGTCCAGGCAGAGTCGCCCGGGGGCAGAGAGCCGCCGTCGGCAGTCGGCCGACGCTGGGCGGACGGGGAGGACGGCGGGCGGCGGCACTGCGGTGACGGGAAACACCTGTCATGCTACCGAACGTGACCTGACACGGACCAGTGACAGCGGGTGATTGCCGGCGCGGTGGTGACGGGTGGCCGCGTAGTGGTGACCTTTAGTGACCTGTCCTGGTGACCGGGTCGCGATGGTGAGGCCGAGAGTGGCAGCTCTCAGACTGGACCCACTGGTGATGGTAGTGGCGGCTCTCGCCGTACCCGCCGTCAGAGTGGCCGTGGTTCTGAGTTTACTGTCCAACGCAACTACTGGTGAGTGGTCATAAACTGAAACGAGGCATGGGCGTTGTAAAAGGCATCCCTATTGCCTATTGCCTAACGCATGTCTATGTAAGAGTATTCGTATAACCCACGCGACTCTTAACCCGCGCCCCACTGGGGGGGGGGGGCTATTTATAGCCCCCCTCCCGTTTTCTGCAATAACTTCCAAACCGCTTGACGAATCGACGCCAAACTTTCAGTACCTTCGGCTGCATCAATTTGACACCTTGTGCTAAAATTTGAACTTCGTAGCTACCATAGGTCGGCCGGAAATGACGTCAGAGTGACGTCATGTTCGTCCGATTTCGACGCAAAACATTGAACCACGGCAATCGCTCCCAAGAGCTCAGTTTTTAAGCTAGATCCAATTTCTTTGCATGAAAGGACTCAGAATTGACCGCGCTATCAATCTGCTATCTCGGATTTTCAAAATTTTGAAAATTTCGAAAATTTTATATAATAATATTCAAAATTTATATTTTTATATTTTTTTCAAAAAGTTTTTGACTTTTCGAAAAAAAACCGGAATATATGTGACAGAACGCATGATTATGACTAACTCTAGGAAGTTTTAGCTAAATATCTTCAAAAATGGCCAAGTTATACGCATTATTGCAAAAAATTCACAATTATTAATTTTTCAAATCAATTTTTCAGTACGTATTTGGCATCGTACACCAATATAAATGGCGCCATCGTGTTCCTGAGCTCAAACTGCATCCAATAGACACCTTTTTTGTTGAAAAATTTGAACTTCAAAATTTGACCTTTTTTGACCTGAAAGTGACCTGACCTAAGCTAATTTCGACTCAAAATGACCTTGAATGACACACACGACATCAAATTCGAAATCTATGGCCTAAATGGACCATAAAACATGTGTCACGTGACCGACGCATGATATAATATTTTCGTGACCTTTGATGGCCTGACCCTGACCTGAAAATCAAAGTAAAAGTTTGGTACCCTCAAGGTATCTAGAGCATCTGTTCACGAGTGTGGAAACCAAAAATGAGCCTGATCTGACTTGTAAGACGGCGGCCAGAGCCCAAAATGTGAACAAGCCAAAGTGCTAATAATTTTTACTTTGACCTGACCTGTGACGTCATCGGTGACCTCGAGGTCAATGAAATTAGGTTTCGCTCGACAGTTTTTCCGGGGCTATCAGACGCCGTTTGAATTTTGACGATCGGCCCAGTAGTTTCGGAGTTAGGAGGGGGGCTATGAATAGCCCCCCCCCCCCCAGTAGGGCGTGTTATACACAGACTCCAGTGGGGCGCGGGTTAAATACTATGTGAGCAGAATTAGGTGACAAAACTTTAAGCGTGGCATTCTTTTCTTTTTCGACTCTGGTTTCCCTTTTACTGAGGCCTGTTGGTGACAAAGTACGCAGGCGGACATTGTCCAACAAACGAGATCTGCATAGCTCGTGTGATTGCTAAGTAGACGTTCCGATAAGCCGCTCACTACACGTCTCTATCTGTAATAGGAACTTAGGATTCATCCCAGTAGATAAGTGGGTTATATAGCCGACATTTGGAGTCGCCGCGGTGCAGATTTCATTGCCCACCACGGCAGAATTGACATCACATAGAAGTCCCTCGGTGGGGTTCCCTCAACCGCTTTCGTTTTCTGTTAGATACCAAAGGGAGTCTATAAAGCTAAAGGTCTTTGATTATCTGTCAGTCACTTGCCAGTCAAAAGACTATTGACCATCAACCAAAGTCCGTGCCGAAGCCAGTTGAGGAGCAGTGCCGGCTTGGATACACGGTTTGCAGCATGGGGGTCCTGGTATAGTCTCGTTATAGCTCCAAGGTAAAATTTTACCACTCTAAGGAAAAGGACATCAGCGGCTCAAAGGCACTCGACACAAGGAGTCCACGGAGTTTGACATGAGGGGAGGGGATATGAAGGAGGAGGTGCTGCTGTAGGTGGCCAGTGGGCACAAACTAGCTAGTTGGGGAAGAAACTGAATGAATATGGCAACAAATGACCTTCATAGATTTTCCACTTAATGATGACATGTCACCTAAAGCAACGCAAGTCATATTTTGTGTGTCGATATGTCTACTCCGACTATGATTTGTCGCTAATGTTTTTTTCGGTCTCTCCAATGGTTAATTATTTTGATAGCTCTTTTCTTCTTGCCGTCACCATTTTACCATGTGCGGCCACTACTTATCTTGACCACAAATATGTAGTGAATGTGAACATAATCCTAAGCACCGCTGTTTGGCCTTAGTGTCCGCAAGGTTGTCTCGTCTTTGGGATGTTCAGTTACAAGTCCTTAAAGGTTTATCTTCACGACTGTCCATCAGCCGTTCATGAGAGCTGCATGGCGGTTAATTCTCCAAACATTTGCGTCCAAACCCCTAAACAGAACGTTATAGCACTCGCATCCCCTTGTCCATTGTTGACGAGACCCTGGGCCTGTCTGCTCGAGGCCGAGGGTGGGCTCATTTCGCGCCTCGTTTCTGTGATAAAGTGAGCCGTATTCTGCTTACGTGCTGTTTTAGGCCACTTTGTATGGGGTAGCCTTGTTTTGCAGCTCGGATGTGCCGACGCGCCGTGATGGATCCCAAGGTATTGCAATACTGGCGTTGCAGTATAACGGTATAGCTATAATTTATACCGTTGTACCACTGTGCAGTTGTGCTAACTGAGGCATGGAGACGAAATGTCTGTAGGGAGACCTGTGACGATTTCAAGCAGCTTAGACCATCAATGACTCTTGGAAACAACAATAAACGCAGCTAACCATCAGCGGTAGTTGGGATTCTATGCGCAGTGCTGATAGAAAATGACTAGCTAAGGTGTGATTTTAGTCATTGCTATTGTTGTTTCGACAACTATTGCTGAATCAACTGTACTGAGTCAATCACCATCCTTAACCCGCGCCCCGTTGGGCTCTGCCGAGCAACGCGCCCTGTTGGGGGGGGGGGGGGCATTTTGGCTCCCCCCCTAAGATCTCGAGAACCACGCAACCTAGCGACAAGCGGCAAACGGTGTTGGATAGCCCTATCAGGGAACTACCTTGTGACCCAATTTTATTGACCTAGGTCAAACCGATGACGTCACGGGTCAGGTCAAAGGTCCAATTTTCACCGTTTACAGGCATTTCAAGAAATGCGTTGTAACTTGTAAAATCGAGTAAAATGCATTTCATTGAAAATCATCGATGGGGAAATGTTCTTCAAACACATATTTTGCTATTTGAGGTCACTGATACCAGGTCAGGTCACAGAGGTCAGGTCACTGGGGGGCCACAATATGAAAGTGTCGTGTGATACATGTTTTATGGTCCATTTTTCATGACATTTGCGATTATGTGGGTCAGGCAGCCTTTGGGGCCAGCTTAGGTCACGTTTTGGTCAAGGTCAGGTCAAGGTCAGGTCAAGGTCAGGTCAAGGTCAGGTCAATGTCAGGTCAAATTAGGTCAAATTTCAAAGTTGATATTTTGCATAAAATGGGTATCGAATCGATGCAGCTCGTCACGGGGAGTTCAATGGCGGCCTTTTTTTTGCCCTCCGTGGTCTAGAATCACTAAAAATTGAGTTCAAAAATTTGAGGTCATCATTTTTGAAGTTTTTTCGCTATAACTTGGCCAAAAAACGAGATATCGATCTGAAATTTGGTATGTATATAGAAGAGCACAGGGACTATCACATATAGGTATTCCGGTTTTTTTTTTCAAAATTCGGAAATTTTTTTGATTATTTTTAGTTTTTCAAAAAAAATCAATTTTTGGAATTTTTTTGGGGTCAAAAACCAAAAATTTGAAAATCCGAGACAACAGTTTTGTAGCGCCGCTTTTTGTCTACTAGACCATTTAAAGAACTTTGAAATTGCTTGATAACTGTAGATTTAGTGAGCGTTTCAAGATTGCATGTTTTTTGCTCATTTTTACTCGAACATGACCTCAGTTTGACCTCAATAACTCCTGACCTAAGGTGACCTAAGACTTGAAATTTGGTGTGAAGGTGTCAAATTGATGCCCGGGAAGGTACTGAAAATTTGGCGGCGCTGCGCGCCGCCGTTTTCTTACTATTCAGGAAAAACCACAGGGGGGCCAAAATGCCCCCCCCCCCCCCCAACGGGGCGAGGGTTAAGAAGGCCATTGCTCGAGGATATTGTTCGATAAAAATAGTTATGTTTTATTTGTTGGAAAGTAACAGCTTTATGTACCTAATTGAAATCACATATCGGCCATGCAATCCGTGTGATATGAAACAATGTACGTCTTGGTAATTTGTTATTGATTTTCCTTGGCGTGTAATACTACATGCCGGTCCAGTTCAGACGATGTGCATGAAACATTCTTCAAATAAAATAGGTATTGAGAGCAAACATTCGGAAGAAATGTGACATGTCTTTTGCCAGCTACCGTGGCTCCGTCGGCCCCTCTCGTTTCCGTCATTGCGCAGCTTTGAATGCAACCAATGGATCGTAACATCGGAAGTTGCTGTGAATCATCTCGCCGGACGAAAATCGAACGTCCAGTCGCTCACATCCTAAGAGCGTGATTAAATGACGAACGTAAATCACGTCTTTACATAAAGATTAGCCACGACGACGATGGCGATTAGCCACGACGATGTGCCATCAATTGCCGGCAACAGCTCAGAGGTCTGCTCGGAGGCTCGTGTTATAAATGTTGTATGCGGTTGTGTGATCAATGTATATTTATAGCGAACAAAATTGACTGAGCTACACGGATAATTTAACAGGGAAGCTCCTGCTAGCCTCTGTAAGCATACCAGATCGTAGCATTACGTATGTTATATGTGTCGTATAAGTTATAACTTGTAACTTAGTACCATGTTATAACTTATTGCCTCCTATCCCTACCTACCTATCGGCTCAGTGTAATGGCTATCGTAAATTGTGTTGTAAATTGAATAATCCGGAGCGGTTGAAATGTATTTGCTTTTTATTATAAGTAATTTACCCTGTATTATGTATACATAACTGCATTTGCCTGGGACGCCAGC